CTTGCAATAGCTTATCGCAAAAACGCAAAAGTGCACTGGCTTCCTGTTGCAAGGAGCTATTTGTTTGACTGGAGCCTTCGGAAACCTTTTTTTTTGCGCTATCAGACCGGAACGAGAAGAACCACCATACATCCAAAATTTACCTTCTGCTTGCTGTGCACTTTGGTGTGTCGTTTACGTTCGTCCGAACGAGCAAACTTCCTGCCACAAACGTCGCAGCTAAACGGCTTTTCGCCTGTGTGTGTCCGGACGTGCGTTGTGAGATGGTCACTGCGCGAAAACGCCCGCATACATATGCGACACTGAAGCCAACCCTTTCGGTGATGCAAATGCATCGAATTTTTATATACTTTCATAACGCACTGTGACAGTTCTAGGCAGAGGCATTGCGATTTTTTGAAAAACAACATAGCTCCAACCATATGGCGCCCACTCTGCAGCATTTGGCGATAGCTCCAAGCCAAAATCAAAAGGCAATTTACACCTCATGAGACTCAAAATTTTTACTCAGCCGTTATCGCCACTAACGAATCTTTGCTTCTCTTCCACTGAAGTCTTAATCACATTCATCATTTGGAAAAAGTGGATGTTATATAATGCTTGAGGAAGCGGCAGGGAGGCCGGGAAGGCGAAGGGAGGGGCAAGTTAGCTATTCCGTGATGTCCATATTCTTTCAATCAGTTGGCCGTTCCGATCCTTTTTATGCGTTATTGCTTATATGCAAGTGCAAAAACGCATGTTGTGACGATCCCTGTGCGTGTGTGTGTGTTCGAGTATTTCAACTCGGTACCCAAGCAAACTCCGGCACCAAAATTTTGCCGGTGGACTCCCCGGCCAAGTGCCATCCCAGGACCGCGGTATCGACGCCCCCCCCCCCGCGTACGGGAGGATGAAAGTTTTGGCGGGAAAATCGTTAACTCAGGAACCAGAAAAGCTAGAAATCTGAGGTTTTGAAGCTATGTTCCTCGCCCATATGGAACTCAAGGATTTCAAATTCAGCCCCCCAAGTGTGCGTGGTACCCGCGTATGGCCCAGTGGGGGCTTCTGGCACGAAAATCGCAGACTTGGGAACCAGGAAGGCTGGGAGGCTGAAATTTCCAGGGA